GGAGCCGATCACAGGTCACAGTGGCATTTATGCCATCGCAGTGGACCTGTTTTGGGGACAGCCCAGTGTAGGGCACAGGGCGCGAAAGAGTCTCTTCAGGACTGCGCATGAGCGAGGGATAAGCCCAATAGCGACAGCTCTTAGAGGGCGAAGCCTATACGAAATAGAAGCATAATAAACATGATAAGTATTTATTGTGCCAGACAGGACTTTGTCCATCACTCACCATAAACCTGTGGCCAACACTGCATGGCTGACTGGAGTGGTTCAGGACAACAGGTGTCACCAGACAGACTCTGTGAGGCTTCAGCAGCTCTGAGATCTGCTCTGCACACAGGGTCACACACACAAACAGCAACACTGTCACCTGGAGACTGAACTCTGTCATGATGACTAGTGCTGAACTTCCATACGCTTCAATCCTCTGCTCAGCTCTCATGTATAACCTTGCTGCACTCATACCAGTCATAATGCCTCATTTAGTAAGAAAATGAAAGTTAATTTTAGGGTTAGTGTATTTTCAAGAAATTTAAGTTATTGTCAAAGCCAGCTGGGTTCTGCCAGGGTTAACTGTGCTGACTGGCTGCATTGTACTTGCTCACACTTTGAGACATTTCTTAGAATACTACAGAAAAGAATCTAGATTGTTTTTATGAGTTGCCTCCACATATTTAGTAGTATTGTTACAGGATATGACACAAATAGTGACAAAACAAGCCTATGAAGTAGGGTCAGCAATTTGATACCTCTAAGGGAAAGTTAACTACTCTTCAGTGTTGGAAAGGCTGCATTCAAAATGTGATAGGTTACAAATTATTACTAAATGTACTAAATGTAACAAGTAATGTATTAATTTTAACTACTTCAAAGTAATGTAAGATATTATTTTTAATTACTGGTTGATCATTTTCTAAAAATATTTTTAAACTGGGCAATAAAGCTGTGAAAAATGCTAACATACATTTAAACCAGGCAGTATAAACTTCACAACTGTACACGACACTATTACTACCAAACTTTAAGGAGACCGTGGCTTTTCTGTGTTGACTTATCTACAATGTTACAACAATGAATTATCATCTTAAATGTGACCAAAAGCTATAAAAAAAAAACAAGATGTACCTATGTTGTACTTCTATGCAGAAGCAACTCAGTATATGCAAGTGTCGCAAACTCTTACTGGCGAGACTTATCTTCCAACTATGTATTGATTCAGTTTTTGGTGAAATAAATGTATAAATTCAATTATATATTTATTACTGAGGTCATAGTTAAAGATGGTGTTGTACTGGACTACATTACATTCAGAGGTGTTCCTAATATTCTGACCCTCTCATGTATGTAGCTCCAGAGGACAAAAATATTGACACACGTCTAAATACAATGTAGTCCAGTACAACACCACCTTTAAAACTGAAACATTTCGAGCTCCATAATCATAGATGTTAAGGTGGAAGCATTGCATTCAAATGCATACAATTGCACATGCGTACCTAATAAAGTGGCCAAGCAGTGTATTTTATTTTATTAAAGAGTTACCATGAAACTCTGAGCTTCACTTTGTCCATGGTGTAAAAAATAGTGAGGGTCAAAACGTAAGAGAAAAATGATTGTGACCAAAGAGTAGTGGATTCATAGAGACATTTCAGCTGTGGCCTCTCCTGCCCCGTGGCTTCTGGTATAAAGCTCCCCATTGTTCACCTCTGTACTGCATGCAGTCAACACCCCAGAGGCGCTCTGTGGAAACAACTGTTCACTGTGGGCAGAGTAGCTAACTATGCTTTAGGCATGAAATGACTTGTAACTGATTCACTCACACTGACCTTTGAAACAACAAACCAACCCCTGGCTTAGCATTGTACATCAGCCCAACTGATGTTTGTGAAGTCAGTACATTAATGTGTGGTCAGCCTCTGATAAATATCATCCACTTATTATTTACGTTTATTCTACAACTAGATGACAGTTAACCCCTCACACTCTGTTTGCAAGGTTTTTACATTGTTATATTAAAATGTGCTTTCACTTTGTGTTTTGGCAATTAATCTCTCAAATGTATGACCATACAAGCCTATTTGCATATATTATACAACAAAATATGAAACACATTCTAAAACATAGTCTGCCTTTACTGATATAAACAGGGAGGCCAAGCGGAAGTTTCTGGAATAACTTCACCCATTGACAAAGAAAGAACCAGGGTCTGATGATGGCTGCATGCCAAAGCACACTGGTCTTGGCATTGGAGGTTGATCTGTACACTTCAAGTGTTGCTGGACTTTTTGCCTCTCCATAAATAATATTAGAAACTCCAACAATTAGACAAACTACAACCTCCAAAATGATGGCAAAGTGCCTTTCTGACTTTGAGACATTATCACCTTCATGAAGGAGGATTTACTACAGGGCATATGGATTAATTTAATCAGTTTTGACTTGGTGGACTTAAACACCCTCTGTGTAAATACATTATGTATTTTATTTATTATATTATGTGATTTGCAGTACATGGGATTAAGTACTGTGTAGAAAACATTGGTATGGTCCTTGAGCTATTTTACCAGTCTCATATCTTTAAAGTGTCACTGAGATAAAAGTGCACTGATGTTGCTGTTTATTAAGTTGGTTCATCTTACCTAGCAGGTTCTGAGAGATGGAGTCCATATGGCAGACTTCAATAAAAATGTTGGTATTGATGGAAAGATGCATCAAGATTTAAGCTATGATCTAGTGCTCCTCCAGTTTCACATCGCCAAACATAAATGAACTAGACTGACTGAAAACTGTACACAACACTGTCCTAAAAAAGGAAGAAAAATTATGTAATTTAGAACAACAAAAATATACAGTACAAGAATCCAGACCAGGAGAGAGGTGAAGATAATGTTGCAGCAGAAATGAGACAATGCAGGGTGAAGATACCAAAAGGTGTGGAGACACATGCACCAGCATCCGCATATAACCCACTTCTTCTTTCACAATGCATGCATGCACACACAGTACTTTTTCTCGCTTAATGTGCATGCAATTTTTGCTCATAAACTTAGACACGCACACACATCCTGTTCCATGTTGTGAGTCACTATTACAGTGAACATAAAGAAGACAGAGCAGGAAGGAACCTCATCTAACCTCCCACACTGAGAAACACGCCACGGTCAGGAAGTGTGCAGTTTCACAAAGTTGAGCTTCAAATTATGTACAACATCTAGAAATGTATCATAATACTGGACGGTTATTGGGATGACACTGGAGGAGAAAAACACTGGCAAAAAATGCAAAAGTGCATCAAAGTGGTTCAAGGTCAAAGGTCAAAGTGTTTATTTGTCATATACACAGTTAGGAAACGTGTTTCCCTGTACAATGAAATTCTTACTTTGCTGTCCACATGAATGCCACACAATACAAGTGAAATATGAAGTGGAATATAAAGGAGATGAACAATAACACAAATCTAAATAGGCAGTAAACACAAGTCTAAGGCAATTCTAAAGCAGCAAGTGAAGGGAGCAAATAAAAATACAACAAGAACACAATATAATGCAGAGAGAATATATGCTACGTGGGAGCCGTGGAGTGTAAATACTCAGCAGTGAGTGTGCAATTGTGCATGTGCAAAATGAGTATGTACACAGTACAGATGGATTTACATAAGGTAGATCCTGAGTCACCTGTTTACAGTACATCATGTATTTCCTGGTAATAAACTCCTCAGCTGTTTAGGAGTCTGATAGCAGTCAAAGAAAGAGTTTTTCAGTCTAGTGGTCCTACATTTCACACTTCTGAACCTCCGGCCAGAGGGTAGGGAGGCGAACAGTCCATGCTGGGGGTGGGTGGGATCTTTGAGGATGGAGGCAGCCTTCCTACGCACCCTGCAGTGGTAAATGCTCTGCAGAGAGGGCAGTGGAGTCCTAGTGATCTTCTCCGCAGTCTTCACCACTCTCTGCAGGTGCTTGAAGTCTATAGCAGTAGTGCTGCCATACCAGACAGTGATGCAGCTGGTCAAGATGCTCTCAATGATGCAGCTGTAGAAGTTGCCAAGGACTCCTAGGCAACCTGCCAAACTTCCTCAGCCTCCTCAGGAAGTACAGCCACTGTTGGGCCTTCTAGACCAGTAGTGTGGTGTTAAGTGTCCAGGTGAGGTCCTCACTGATGTGGACGCCCAGGTATTTGAAGCTGCTCACCCTCTCCACTTCGAGCCCCTGGATGAAGTGGCTGATGAGTTCTCCTCTCCTTCCTCATGTCCACTATCATCTCCTTCGTCTTGTCCATGTTGAGGCTGAGATTATTGTCCTTGCACCATGACACCAGACTGGCCACCTCCCTCCTCTAGGCTGCTTCGTCCCCACCAGTGATGCGACCTATCACTGCGGTGTCGTCCGTGAACTTTAGGATGATGTTGTCTTTGTGGGAGGTGACACAGTCGTGGGTGAACAGGGTGTAGAGGATGGGACTGAGGACACATCCCTGTGGGGTGCCAGTGTTTGTAATAATGCTGGCTGAGGTCCTATTGCCAATCCTTACAGTCTGGGGCCTGCCAGTCAGAAAGTCCAGGAGCCAGTCACAGAAGGTGGGGTGCAGACCTAGTGTGGACAGTTTGTGGGGGTTAACTGTTTTGAAGGTGGAGCTGTACTCAATGAAGAGTATCTTGATGTAGGAGTCTCTATTTTCCAGGTGAGAAAGGGAATAATGAAGGGCAGCAGCAATAGCATCTGTCAGGAAGGTAGGCATACTGCAGGGGTTCCAGGGTGCTCGGTATACTGCTCTGAATGTGGGCCAGCACCACTGACCAGGCTCTTCTTGGGAAGGGGGATGATGGTTGTGGTCTTAAAGCAGGTGGGAACGATGCTCTGGCTGAAGGAGAGATTGAAGATGGTGGTGAGAACATCAACCAGCTCGCTGGCACATGCCCTGAGAGCCCTCCCAGGGATGTTGTCCGGTCCTGCTGCTCTGCGGGGGTTGATCTTCCTCAGGACTGTGCGTACCTGGGCTGGTGAGACAGTTAGTGGAGGGGAGGTGGAGGGTTGGGTTGTATGTGTGTGCCTCTGTGCTGTTGCTTGAGGTCTCAAAGCGGGTGTAGAAGGTGTTGAGGTCATCCGGCAGGCTGTCTGTGGAGCTCATGATGCTGGTGGTGGTCCTGTAGTCTGTGATGTGCTGCACGCCTTGCCACATCCATCCGGAGTCAGCAGTAGAATAGAGGCCATTCTTCCTTGTAGATATGCATATTAGAAAGTCTAACATTTTAGATTAACCAGTGCTGTTCAATTTGCACAGGCAATCCAGTGCCCCCAAAACTCTCTACAGGATAGGTGGTATAGCTAATGGACAGATAGGGCAATACCATGGTGCATTCACAGCCAAGACTGCTTCTGAAGTTTATATAAAAAAAAAAAAGGCAAAAGAAAGATTTACTTGGAACTACTGATATAGAAGTCAAACAAGCAACTTGAATGCAGGACAGTGCATTTTAACAATGCTGGAGGTCAATCACCATCTCTTGTTTTGTTTTGCTGGTGTTCAGGACCAGCTGATTTTTATCACACCACTCCACAAATTGGTAATCCCCCCCGTTTTTCCACTCACTCCCCCTAAATATACAGCCAACAATGGCGATGTCATCAAAGAACGTTTGTAGATGAATGAATGAATGGCACTTTATTA